GTCAAGTTCTCTTTCTTGAGGACCAGTTAATTGTTTATCTTGAAAACGTGTGGAAGGTGTTGTAGCTTCTTGGCTGAATAAACAGGTGACATTTCTTTGTTTGTAGTTTCTTAGCGATTGCCTCGATGTAAATCACCTGCAGGAAACTGTTTTCTTTCCCTTCTACCTTCATGGAGAGGTTTTCTGTATTGGAAGTAGGTTTTGCTTCTAATTCTATTTTTCCAGCAGTGCCTTATCTACATTTAATGATAATAAAAGATGAATGTCTCAAAAAATGCTATATAGCTCTAGAAGGCTTTTCCATACATCATATTTGATTTTCAAAAAACCAGGCGGCATTAAAACACTACTAAATTAGAAGGCGTAATTATTACATTCTGATAGTTTCCCATTCTGGGAACAGAGGAACAGGGGTGTTAAGTGCAACCCATGAGAACCCACCCAATTGTCAGCAAAATGAGAGCCTGACCTGGGACTTCTGGCTCCTAATCCAGGATTTTCCCCAAACTCCACTGCGAGCAGCGCAGGACATAAAAACAAACTCATGTGAGCATATTCATCTGCCTTCCTGGTCTTAGATACCCTACAGCCCCACACCCAGCAGCACTGCTTTGGTTACAGGTGCACTTCTGACAGCTGGGCACTTCTTCGGGAAGCTTCTTGCTTCTCCTAACCTTCCAGCCTGTGTGTCCCCCATGCTTCTTGGAACTTGGTAACAATGTCCAACATTCTCATTTTCTATCCAACCAGGCCTGGAGAGGGGCAGTTTCCAAAGTGGAATGTGAAAAAAAGGGGGGAAATCTACACTGTTATTTTAAAATGCTGGCATCTGCAAAGGTAAACAGAAACAGACAAAGGACAAGGGTAAAAAGTGTGTGTGTGTGTGAGAGAGAAACAGAGAGAGAGAGAGAGAGAGAGAGAGAGAGAGAGAGGAGGAGACAGAGTGAGAGAAAGGCAGGGCAGACTAGACTAAAGAGGAAGGTTGAGAACTCTCCAGAAAACTGTGAAGGGCTGCCACATGGCAGAGGGGTGTTTCACTGTCTTGTTCAAGGGAAGACCTGGCCCTCGAGTGTGGTGATTCTGGTAGGGACACCAACCTTAATTGCACATCAGGAGGCGTTTCAGGCACAGACATCTGCCAGCAGAGGGGCAATGCACATAGGATGCACCATCTGCAGTCCAGAAGGATGGAGTCTCAGTCCTCAAGGTTGTGTGTGCACCTGAGTGACTTGGATGCCGGGACCCATCCCCTAGTGCCCTGAGTATACAGCCTGGGAGCCTGCATTTTCAATATTCCCCTTCCCATCTCCCCAAGAAACACATGTGACATCACTGTAGCCATCAGAGAGTGACCTGGGCTAGGATGGAAGTGGATGAGATTATTTAAGATCTCCTCCAAACCCCAAACTTGTTTTTTGTCTCCCCTCTCCTTTCTCTCTCTTTCTCTCTCATCAGGGTCTCACTCTGTTGCCCAGGCTGGAATGCAGTGGCATAATCACAGCTCACCACAGTTCAACCTCCTGGATCTGGAAATCCTTTCACCTCAGCCTCCCGAGTAACTGGGACTACAGGCATATGATACCACTCTCAGCTATTTTTTGGTTTTTTTTTTTTTTTGTAGAGATGAAATCTCATTATGACTGGTCTCGAACTCCTGGGCTCAAGCAATTCTCCTGCCTCAACCTCCCATAGTGCTGGGATTGCAGGTGTGAGCTGCACTTGCCCTTCAAATTCTTTTCAATTGTTTGACTCCTCTCTAGTTCTTCCTCATGACTATCCCACACAACTAGTTTTCTTTGAAAATAAATCCATCCCAGCAGACCCCTGAGAGGTGGAGGTTCTCCCATCCTGCCTACTCCCTGCCTGTTTCACCACCCTGGCAGTCCTTGCCATGGCTGTCTGTCAAGAGGATTCCGGGAAGGAGGCTGTGAGCTTGTAGCAATGCCTCGCTTGCCAGTCCTGCCCAGCAGGGATGTCTTTTGGCCTGTAGGGTGATGACAAACAGGCAGTTTTGTAGGGGAGCTAGTTGATCCTCTGTGAGCATATACATGTAGGATCCCAGAAGTCCCTGCTGAGTTGAGAAAAGCCCTGCAGAGGTTGCTGAGTTCAACCCCTCCCTCTACAGGAGCAGGAAACAAGGCACTCGCTGGCACAGGCACTATAGCTTAGACAGGAAGTGCTGTTTACGTCTGGGAAGAGGCCGCATCCAGGGGCAGGAAGCACATCCTCAACTTGTGTGTTTGTGCATGTGTGTGAGTATGTGTGTACAGGTGCTTATGAGTGTGAATGTGTGTGATCTGGTGTGTCTGAGTGTGAGCATGTGTGGGAGTGTGCACATGAGTGTGAATGTGTGTCTATGTGTATGTGAATGCATGCACATAGGCATATGTGGATATGTGTATATATGTGCTACCATGAGCATGTGTGAGTGTGTGTATAAGTGAGTGATGTGCATCTATGAAGGTGTGTGTGAGTGTATATGAGTATGAACATGTGTCAGTATGGGTATAGACTTGTGTGAGTGTGTCTGTGTGTCAGTATGGGTATAGACTTGTGTGAGTGTGTCTGTGTGTGGGTGCATGTGTGGAGTGTGGGTATGTCTGTATGTGAGAGTGTGAGTGTGAATGTGTGTGTATACGTGTCCTGAAATCCAGCATCGCACACTAGTGGCTTCCCCTGGTTTGTCAGCCCTTGGACACTGTTTAGGGGGAAGCTGGGCTTTCTGCATGGAAGCCCTGACGGGGAGAGTGAATCCAGGGCTCTCTGGTGGATGGACCTGCTGCAGGACATGTCCCTATTGGGTTGTAGAGTGGGGCTATTTTCTCCTCCAAGTGTGTACATAGAAAATACAAACGTGGAAAATCCCTATGACTGTCATGCAGAAAAATATGCATAAATAATAACTGTAGAAAAATGCCTCACTGTGGATTTAAACACACACACACACACACACACATACACATACACACACACAAACACACGGGGGGGGGTATCTTTTGTTTCACCCAAATGAAAGGACGGTTGAAGGATAGACTGCTAATTTTGAAGTTTTTCTTTAACCATTTGAGTTTGATATAAAGAGAAAGCATGCTAGAATGACATTTTATGGATAATTCCAAAGTACCATGAAGTCTTCAGCTGGCAAAACATGTCCTGACTTTGTTTCCCTCTCTTGGAATCGGTCGTTGGGATTGTGACTGGAAAGACAGTAGAGCAGAATGTGAAGAACTCGGGTTTCAGCTTTTACTCACTGGCTATGTGACCTTTCTAAACCTTAGTTTTCTAATCTGTATAATGGAGACAAAGGACCTACTTCACAGAGTGGTTGTGAAGATGAGAAAAAATGGTGTATAGGGTCAATTTTGAGTTTTACATTGTGAATTATCCCTGATTACACTTTGACATTTTGGAGAAACATTCATGCATTATAGTAGCAAAAACTCTGAGAGATAATATATAAAATATTATAATAAACATTCATCTTGCATTTTAAATGTCCAGATTTACATACATTATAATACCTTTATGTTACTCTTTTAGTGCTAATTAAATGTTATTTTCTTGAATATTATATAATAGCTTAAAATTTTTTTAAATTAAACTTTTTTTAAAAAATGAGTCAATTCTACATGAAGCTTCAGTTTTCTATAAAGGACCCTGTCTTCCAAAGAAACTTGTTATGAGTCCCTTGACTGTGCAGTTATTTCCAGCTTCTTTTTTGTATTCTTGTCATGGCATCTGACATTTAGTTATTAACCATGCAGATGCAGCAGTTCATCACCTCGGAGACTAATCTACTGAGAATAAAAGACGTCGCAACACCGATGAGGGTGTTAGGCGAGACGGTCCCTGCTGGAGGAACTGTTTTGTTTCTAGGACATGAAGGAGTTATACTTCTGAGCCATGCAGCCAAGATAGATCTTTCTAAACCCATCTGAAAGTTTTTCAAGTGAAACTAACAAGATTTTCTTCAGATAATGTTAAAATTGGGCTTCAGCTTTCAACCAGAAGCCACGAAAGACGATCAACAGCACAGTTCAGAGGCATCATGAACTGGAAAGTACTTAATATAAGATTTAAAAATCCATTTCACATATGCCCATGATGGCTACTGAAATAAGAAATAAATCACCTCCAATTCTATCATCTCTTAAAATGTTTCCTTTTCTTCCTGTGGTCCTTTCTGGAGTGAGTTCACTTTTATGAAACCTTACAGAGCTATTATCTGTATGGAGGTGGAATAGTATGTATTGCTGTTTTGACTCCACATTGTTAAGTCTTTTTTTAAATGCTGCTAAAACATCTCAATGGTGAGCATTCCAACATCTGTGTAGTATTGCATCCAGATGCTCTGTAATAGTCTGCTTTCCCATTCTCCTATGGTTGCTCAATTATAGAATTTTCCATTTAAAATCATGATAAATGATGATACCTGTGAATGCAGACTCATGCCCTCAGACCAGTCTCAGGAGGAGGGCACTGAGGCAAAGCTTGTGGACATTTTTTGACTTCTGAACTCCATTGTCGAATCTTCTGAAGGATGCTTTTCTGAATCTGATGGACCACTTTGATTTGACCCTGTTTTCTTCTGCCAGTCAGAAATGATAAGGTAAGAGAATACTCTGAATTTGATGGAGGGAGTCAGATTTGGGTCTGAAATGTGTTTTCTGCGTAACAATGAGATGGGACTCAGTGATGCAGCCTGGGTTGTTGGGTACTCACCTTTCCTAAAAGATGCCATCTGCTTAGAGCGAGAATAGGCTGTGACACGCAGGTCCCCCCAGGGAGATGGCTGTGGTGGTGGAGGGCATTAATGAGCAGGCATAAGGGACTGCTCCCGTTGAGCGCTTCCGCTGAAACCACTGCCACTGCTAGCGGCACAGGGAACAGAAGGATCCTTTCTCCAGGTCCAGGCAGCTCAGGCCCCTTTGTGGCCCTGCTTAGGAGAGACCTAGATTGCTCAGCAGAGGCCCAGGGCCCTGTACCGCCATCGCTGGATGATGCTTGGAACCTCGGGGCTGGCCTTGCTGGCGCTGCTTAGTGTGGTGGGCTCCAGCCAGGCCAGTGGCTTCACAGGTGAGGGGTCTGGGCTTGGCTAGGGCGGTTCTTGAGGAGGGACACTCTCTGGGCAGGGGTCTCATGAGAACAGCCCCCTGCTGAGACCCAGGCAGGCAAGGATACCTCTGCTTTGGGAGGTGGCACCTGTTCCTTGCTGGCCAAGCTTTCTTGTAATCACACACGGAAGCAGGCCATGCAGAGGCAGGGCAGGAGCTCCCTGCAAGCTTTTAGAGAGGATGCTCCCAGTGCAAACGGGCCTCTGAATCACCTGGGAGTTCATGGGGGCAAAATGCAGATTTATAGCAAGTCTGAGATACAGCCTAAAACTCTGCATGTCTGTGGGTCTTGACCCTGCTGAGAACAGCCAGGTCCTGCAGACTCAGAAAAAAGATCTCCCGAGCCTTGGGGTATTCAAGTCCTTGCTTGCAGACTCGCCCTAGGCCACACCAAGGGCAGAATCACCATAAGGGAGCAAGGGTCTGAGTGAGGGCACAGTTGAGAGCTTTGCATAAAGTGATCAAAGTAGCTGTTAAAAAATACATGGGGTTTCTGAAACCCCAGGATCCAGGGAATTGAAATAGCAAAGCTTTGTAATCACGTTCCTCTTTTTTTGAGTTGGAGTTTCACTATGTTCCCAGTCTAGAGTGCAGTGGCAAGATCTTGGCTCACAGCATCCTCAGTCTCCTGGGCTCTGGTGGTCCTGCTTCAGCCTCCCAAGTAGCTGGGACTACAGGCATGTGCCAGAACGCCTGGCTAATTTTTAATTTTTTCGTAGAGACAAGGTTTCTCTGTGTTGTCCTGACTGATCTTAAACTCTTGAGCTCAAGCAATCCTCTCATCTTGGCCTCTCCAAGTGCTGGGATTACAGACATGAGCCCTGCATCTGGGCTATAATCATTTTTCTCTTAAAGGCTGTCTTATTCAGCTGAGAATTAAAAGAGATCCGTTCTGTTTTCTAAAAGCAATTTTACTTATTTATTTATTCATTGCTGGTTTAAAGATTTTTTTTTTCACCCCAAAGCAGGGTTTTGCTTTACTTGTGATTTTTAACTTGGTTTTTTTCCATTGGAGTAGGTAATGTGTAAAGCACACAACTCAGCTGCAGAATGCATGGGAATATTGGGAAGCTGGAGGAGATCATAGAAGGTATTTTGGGGACCACCTCACTATAGCTATGAGGAAATGAGTCAGAATTTCAGTGATTCCACACCTGCATGCCCCTAGCTATGAGAGCCATGAAGTCTGTGCTGAGTTGTCACTATGTGCCAGGCATGGTTTCACTCAATCCTTCTACAACTGCAGGGCACAGCTGTTATTTTACAAATGACAAGACTGGGGCCTCAGAAGGCATGACACATATGCAGAACCACACAGCAGGTGTTTGTGAGGCTGGGTGTGAATTTGGGTCAGTCTAATCTTGGGACACTTGCTTGCTGCAGAGCACTGAGTGTTCCAACGTCTGAGACTAGAACCCAAGACCCCAACTCCTGCTTTAATGGCTCTTGGAGGGATTTGTTGAATGGCAGGATCTGCTAGAGATATTTTCTCTGTGCTCTGCCAAGAAACTTGGGGATGATACAGTGGCCTCTGATAAGATATAAAAAACAAAACAGGACAAACATCTCCAGAGTTTCACAGGAGAAGAGTGAGGGTGTGTGTGTGTGTGTGTGTGTGTGTGTGTCCTCTACTGTGGATCTTCTGGGACTCCCTAATCAGATGGGGCCCCAAGGGCTCTCTAGGGACCACCAAGGGCCACGACCTTCACTAATATGATTGGCATCTCTTCTTTGGTGAAGATGAAAAACGAAAATCTAGAACTACTTTGAGACATTCTCCACACGGGAAGTCTTCAGGTCTTGTCTTGTTCAGCCCATCACTAAATAGGTGGCCACATTCACTCTGGCCATGTTCTGCCATCCCTCAAACTCATGGTCAAGCTACCCTGACCCTAGGAGCTGATGTCTCCTGTCCTACCCTATAGAACAAGGGCCTTCCATTGCTTTCTAGAACTTGCTGTAACTACCCCTTTGGTGATGGTGAGCAGCAAGTTGTCCCCAGCCCAGGGGCCCTGCTGAACCCACCGGGTGCCTGGGATGCAGCCCCCAGGGGAGATTGTGACTTGGGTCACTATTGCTTGTGGAGTGAGCACTCTCCAGGGTGAGTGTGGGATTCAGTGCCTGTGTTCTTCCCTTGGCCTGAGTTTTGCTGGCTCTGACTCATTCCTTCTTGCAGGGAGTAACACACCCCTGAGTCTCACTGTTTCACACTTGTGAGTTGCCATGAGGTCCAAGGAGGGAATCTTGGGTGAGGCTGTCCCAGTGTAGGGAGTGAAGGCACCTGCTGTGCTGATCATTCTTTCTGTTTTGTTTATTTATTTTGTTCTTTTGTTTGTTTGAGTTGGGGTCTCACTCTATTATCCAGGCTAGATTGTAGTAGCACAATCACAGCCATTGCAGCCTCAACATCCTGGGCTCAGGCAAGCCTTACTTCTCAGCCTCCTGAGTAGCTGGAACTACAGGTGTGTGCCACCATGTTCAGCTAATTTTTAATATTTTTTTGTAGAGTCGGGGGTCTCACTTTGTTGTCCAGGCTGATCTCAAACTTAGGTTCATGTGATCCTCCCTCCTCGGCCTCCCAAAGTGCTAGATTACAGGTGTGAGCCACTACACCTGGCCCTGATAATTATTTCTCCTCCTATCTCTGTTTTCCTCCCCAGAAATCAATCTGGCTAAGGAATATGAAGGAATAAGGAAATGAACTGTGATACTGAGCCCTACCTATTGGCTGTTCAGCCTAGCAAAGCTTAGAGCTCAGAGGCTGAGTATCTGAAAATGCAAATACTGTATGTTCAAACCCCTCTGCATCCTACACTGAGTCCACATGTGCAGAGCCCAGTGCTAAGCACCAAGTGAATGGGGACATTTCACGGCACCTACGTTAGTTTCCTAGGGTTAATGTAGCAAAGAAACACAGGCCTAGTGACTACAGCAGTAGAAATTTATTGTCTCACAGTTCTGGAGGCGGAAGTATGAGATCACGGGGCGGCAGGGCTGCTCCTGCTGAGACTTCAGAGGAAATCTGTTTTGTGCCTGGCGTTTCTGGTGGCTGCTGGCGATCTTTGGAGCTTCTGGCTTACAGAAGCATCACCCCAATGTCCACCTCCCTGCGTGCATGTCTGTCTCCAAATTTCTCTTTTTTATAAGGATGCCAGTCCTCTGGCGTCAGAGTGCACCCTAATGACTTCACTTTAACTTGACAATTTCTGTAAGACCCTATCTCCAAATAAGGTCACATTTGGAGTTGCTGAGGGTTAGGATTTCAACATATGAAATTTTGGAGAAACATGATTCAGTTGGGATAAGGCAACAGAAGCTCCTCAGGGAGATGGCAAGCCCAAACACCATGCAGAGGGCAGTCCATGCCAAGGAGGCACATGGCTGGTGACCGTCACAGCACCAGGGGTCTCGAGAACCCAGGGACCATGTTGATGGACAGGTGATGGGTGCTTGTGGATAGGAACCAGGTTCCTGGTGAGAGGTGTATGGAGTCTGATAAGGTGAATGGTGAACTTGATGCTTGTCCTATAGCGGGGGTGACTATGCACTCTTCTGATGATGACGGTTGACAGTTGAAATGACCTTCAATCATCTATAGTTTATCAAGTGTGCTTTAAATATTTATTATTGATCTTTCACCTCATTGAACAAAAAAAAGTTTGTCATTGTCATCTCTCTGGCCCAGAGCACGCTGTCAGTATGTTTTGTTTTGGTTTTTTGAGTTGGGTTCTCATTCTGTCACCCAGGCTGGAATGCAGTGACAAAATCATGGCTCACCACAGCCCTGACCTCCAGGGCTCAGGCCATCCTTCCACCTCAGCCTCCTAAGTAGCTGGGACTACAGGCACATGCCACCACGCCCAGCTAATTTTTAAAATTTTTTCTGTAGAAACAAGGTCTCGATATGTTGCCCAGGCTGGTCTAGAACTCCAGGGCTCAAACAATCCTCCCACCTCTGCCTCCCAAAGTGCTGGAATTATAGGCATGAGCCACCGCACCGGGTCTCAGTATGTTCTTGCAGAGGGAACCGTTGCATGTTAATTTATGTGGCGAACCTGAGGCTTATGGAGACTAAGAGATAGATGTGCATGAGAGTCTATAGCTTGTAGAGTCAGAAAACATAAAGCAGAAAAAGGGACATGATTTCTGATTTTGTATTCCAACTCTGTGTTCCTTCTTTAGCCTATCATGAGACTCTTGGGCTGTGGAAGCATGTGTTGGGCCCCAGAGTGGCAGCCCTCTCTGTGTACAGGAGGATTTCTTGGCCAGTAGAGCTACGTTTTTGCTTTATTCCTTCGAGTTTACACTCATGTAACAACTTTCTGAGCATGCTAGAAGGCAAAGGCCCATGGATTGGGTGGGGGGGGGCCTAGAGTGTTCCCAGGTGTGGGAGATTTCGTTTTGCTTGCTCTTGCAGAAGGATGACTTATAGATAACTGCTCATATTGATTAGGTCCTGGTGATCTTCTGTCTCTGCTTCCTCAATCCCCCTCCTTGCTCGCCCTCCCTTTAGAAAAGGGCCTCTCCTTGTTGAGCTACCAGCTGTGCACCTACCGTGTGACCCACACCATACAGAAAGTGGAAGCTGTGCAGACATCTCATGTGACCTACGCATCTTGTGGTGGCTGGATCCCATGGAGGCTGTGCCCCAAGACAGTTTACAGGACCCAGTACCTTGTGGTGGAGATCCCTGAGCCCAGGAATGTGACTGACTGCTGCGAGGGCTATGAGCAGCTCGGCCTCTACTGCGTCTTATGTGAGTCCAGAGGGCTGGGCTGGGCTGGGCAGGGGTGGAGCCACCTCTTCTGATGGGATGGTCACTGTTCTTCCTGTTGGTCCTGAATTTACTAGATCTTTCTTTTTCTTTCTTTTTTTTTCTTTTGGCTGGAGTGCAATGGCACTATCATAGTTCACTACAGTCTCAACCATCTGGGCTCAGGCAATCTTTCTGCCTCACCCTCTCAAGAGCTAGGACTGCACACCATTCCTCCCATCTAATTATTTGGTTTTTGTATAGACAAAGTCTTGCTATATTGCCCAAGCCAGTCTTGAACTACTGGGCTCAGGTGATCCTCCCCCTCAGCCTTCCAAAGTTCTGGGATCACAAGCATGAGCCGCTGTGCTTGGCCTTAGATCTTTCGAGAATACTGCGTCTCAGCCCTAATCATGCATCAGCATCACCTGGAGGCCTTGTTCCTCGCTCCACTCCCAGTTTCTGATTCAGAGGCTCAGATGAAGTACAAGAATTAACCTTTCTAACAAGTTCCCAGGTGATTCTGATGCTGCTGTCCCCAAGGGCTCCACTTTGAGAACCTCTGTCTTTCTCAGACTTGAGTATACAAAAAAGATTCCTGGGCAGCTCTAAATATGCAGATTCCTGGGTTCCACCCTCAGAGATTGTGCCAGAATTAGTCTGGGGCATAGCTCAGTTTTCAGGACATTTTTAAAGCTCCCTAAGCAATTCAATGCACAGCTGAGTTTGAGAACCAGTGGTGCAATCTCTTCTACAGCGGTAATCAATCTTTCCTTTTTAAAAGCTGCAGTGAAATCCTTTTTCAGCCTAAATCCTAATCTGAACTCCAACCTGTGAAAGAGCTGGAAGGGGTCCCCAGCCTCCCACCACAACTGCCCGGAGACCCGCATGTCCACCCACTTCCTCAGTGCTGTTTGTAGGATGTCATCAGTGCTGTCATGTAGGTTGCTCAGGGCTGGTTGTCAGGGCGACCAGTGTGGTTATATCAGGCCAACGTCTGAGCTGGTTGGTTCTGGTGGGGCTTCAGCCTCCTGACATGCAGATGACCTCTTCCAGGGGGAGATTTTGTGTGTGTCTGTGTGTGTGTGTGTGTGTGTGTGAGAGAGAGAGAGAGAGAGAGAGAGAGAGAGAGAGTGGTGATTGTTTTGAGTCAATACCAGATCTAAAATGAGTTTCTGTAAAACCAGAAGATTCTCCTCCCCTCTAACAACCATGGAAGGGAGGAGTGAGAGGGTATAGCTACAGCTAGGTGTCAGTCGGAGTAACTCTGAGACTCAAGGGCTGTGGCCTCCAGAGTGTAGAAGGCACAAGTTCCTAGGTGCCCCCAGAGGGATCCCAAGTGACCCATCCCTGTGACAAGACCAGGATACCAGCAAGCTAGGCGTGGGTCCTCCAGACCAGGGTACCTCCCTCCTTAGCAAACTAGGGGCCATAGGTTGTAGAGTCTGGGGTTGTCACAGTCCTGTCTACTGGCCATCCTGAGGGGCCTTCCCTTTAGGTTCCCTGTGTAGTTTCACAGGGGACAGGGGTGGCTATCGCTTTTCCACTGTCTTGCTCGGGGGGCCGGGCACAGAGAGGGCCCAATGGTTTAGACTGAGCATGTACCCCTTGAATGGAGTATTGAATGGGTATGTACCCCTTTCAGGAGTATTAAACAGATACTACTGTCACCAATGCTACCATCACCGATAGAAACCAGACAGGGTGGCTAACCTCAGGCACAATGACAGTTTGTGTTCCTGTTGGTTCCAAACAGGGCTGTGGCTGTTCTCTAGCCTTCTTGCCCAGGTGCTGGGTCTAAGGAGATACTTTCTGTCCTGACTCCTACTCCCCTCTTCATGTTTCCTGTCTACAAGGGCCACATGCACAGAAGGGCTGGCCGCTATTGCCGCTGCCCTGGGAGTGGCTTCTTTTCCTGGGGGACGGTATGTTGGTACCATTAGGACACAGATGCTGGGACTGTGGCACTTCAGCATCCAGCATGTGGGCTTTGCAGTCTGGGTCTGATCTGTGAAGGACACGCTTCTTTCCCTGGCTGGTTGCTGTCAGGACAAGTGAGGTCACACAGGGAGGGGAGGAGACCCTGGGGGAGGCGATCAGTTCAATGGCCCCTTCCTACACCCTGGGTCTGTGAGGCCTCACCAGCTCCACCCACACGGGCACTGGCACCTTTCTGGTAAGAATGCTGCCCTGCTGTAACAAACAAGTTAATTCCCTCCCAGGAGAAGATAGGGAGCCTGGGGGCCCCTCCCCACCACCTGCTCCCTTGACAGACCAGCCACCAAGGAAATGACTCTTGTGGGAATCAGCCTCACTTTTAGAGTGTTTGTGCCTTTAATTAGGGACTTACCAGGGCCAGAAGAGAACATTCTAGTCAGGGAGCCCCATGGGCAGGAGGAGCAGGCCTACCCAGGGCAGCTGCAATGGGCGGTGTGGCTGCAGTAAGGGGGGCCAGGGTTGTGGGAAGGGACACCTGGAGCCCTTCAGTACAGGGTGCCCTCAGGTCTTAGAAGGGCCACTCAACAGCAGAGAGAGGAGGCAGACAGGAGCCCAGGAGGAAGGAGAAAGGAAGAGAAGAGGGAGGAAAATAGGCATTGTTCCTTGTAACAGGACAGAGCAGGAGACCCTTCATTCCCTCAGGCACAAAAGTAAGGGTACAGGCTTGGAGAGGCCAGCACCTTGATCGTGAAGGCACAGCTCCTGAGAGGTAGGCTGGCAGATGCCTCATTCTGCAGGGGAGTTTGTGGCATTTGAGGAGGGTAACCATGGCGATAGTGGCAGGAGAAACTCAGGACGCGGGGTTCTTCTTCTTCAGAAGGGTCCTTGCTGAGCCAGTCAGCTCAGCACTGCAGCCCTGGCTACTGTGAAGGATAGTTGCTGGCATCTACCTCTTCAACTCTGAGGTAAAAGACATCACATCGATGACTTGACGGTGCCATGGTAAAGTGGGAGTGTTTGCACCCCGGACACCTGCATTTGCATAACTCTTTCCACCAAAGCCTGAATGTTTAATTATCCCCTATTCAGAGATGTCTCGTGACAGGTTGGTTGCTTGGAGCCAGAAGTGAGATAGTCTCAGTAGGTGACCAGCTAAGGGTGGTGCCTCTGATTTGTATAGAATGAAGCAGGGACTGAAGCTAGACAGTCTGGAAATGTGGGGAGGAGAGAGGAGCAGATGATGCTGTGTCCTCTGTGCTAGGGCCTCCAGGTGTCCTAATGTGATATGACTTGCATCTCAGCCGCACAGTCGTCTGAGACTTAGAGTCTTATCCCTTTTCCGACAGCAGCAAAATGCCAGACTTGTCTCCTCCTTTCTCCTCCCCCTCAATAACAGGTTACCTAAAAAAGGGAAGAGAAGCCTGAATACAGTGTAATCCTACTTTCGGTCTAAAGGACCTTTTCAAAAGCTCTTTTGAGCCCAGCATCTGAAATGCAATGATAACCCATACATTAAGTCTTGAAAAATATGATTAAATGAGCCATACAGAAAATCTGAAAACACAGAAAAGAATAGGAGGAAATGACCCCCAAAACCCGTTGCCCACAAATAGCCACTGTTAACCTCTCCTTCTATCCGCGGCAGACAATTACGAGAGGATGGTCACCGTGCCGAGACTTTCTGTGGCGTGATTTTACTACTTAGCAATTTATCCAGAACAGTCTTCTTGTCAATAAATATTCTTCCACAGCATGCTTTGGTGGCCACATGACATTACCTCATATGGCTGTATCAGCATTCATTAAGCAATTTCTTACCCCTCACCACTTTGTTGTTTCTCATTTTTCATGATCATAAACAAGGCTGTGATGAGTCTCACATGGTACGAACATGGCTAGGCACAAGTTGGGTGATGTACTCAGGATGAATTCCCAAAAGTAGGACCAAGTGTCTAGTGAGTGGTCCCTAATTCCAGTGACACCCTGGTTCTGCACAGCCTTCTCCACAGGGTCCACAGTGGGACCCTATTGAACCAGGAGCCTCTCCTCAAATTCCCCATCTCCCCATGCTGATGACCAGGGGCTCTTGGGTAAGAACCTCCTGTCCTGACTAGGCAGAGAGACACTGAGGCGGGGGAGGGAGGCGGGAATGACTCCTCCCCAGCCACGAGACTCCTCCGCTCTGGAAGCCTTGGATTCTGTTGCTCAAACAGAAACCTCCACTGTCGCCCTGCTGAACCGTGACTAACTGAGTTGCCAGGCACTGGGCAGTTCTGTTTTATTGTTTGCATTGAGTTCGGGAAGAAGAAGGAGATTTTTGACTTTCTACCAAGTTGGAATCGTTGACTGTTCTCTTAGGGCGCCCAGTCAGCTTGCCAGCTCCAAGGGATGGAGGGCTTCCCGGCAGCAACCAATTAAGATGCAGAACTTTGACTCGAAGACACATCTGCTGTGACTAGGCAACCATTTTTGGAAGCTGAGTTTTTTTGGGGATATTTTCTTCTTATTTAAATACACTCTTTAGTTTAGAATAGTTTTCGTTTTAATGGAAAAGTTGCAAAGATAATGCAGATGGGTCCCATAAACGCCCCAGCCAATTCCCCAGTGTGAGCATCTCACACTTCCAGGGTGACTCTGTCCCCACTAAGGACCAGCCCTGGGGCATAGCAGTTCATGAAATGCCACACTCTATTCAGATGCCACCGCTTTTCTCCCAAGGCCTTTTCTCTGTCCCTAGAGCCTACGTTACATTTTGCACTGGGCTCTTTGCTTTTTGCACTGGGAGACAAAGCAAAGACCCAGAGTCTCTGAAAAGCCCCTTAGGAGCCTGGTGTGTACCCCCTTGCATTGTGCCAGATGTCCATTTGTCAAGCCTCCGGAGCCAGGCCCTGCACAGCCATTTCTCTGGGGCCTGGCAACATTGGTGTAGAGACCAGATGATGAGGTATTGAAGAGTGAGCCAAGAACAACGCAGGAAAGAGAATGTGACTGAGAGTGAACTTCAGCAGCAAGAAACATGGCCCAGCATCCTGTGGGAAGAGTGTCTACGTGGCTCTCTGCAACTTAGCAACCCTGGCTCCTTCTTCTCTGGTGTAGCCAATGCAGCGGCCCTTGGTCATGTGTTCCCAACAGATGCCAGGGCCCCTGCCTTCTTTTTTGGTTGTAGAGCATTCTGTAGAGACCCTGGGGGACCCAAGAGGCCTGTCCCTGGAACTACAGCCCCTGGCACCTCCCTTCCACTCAGCTTGTCCCACAAGTCTTCCTGAAGGACTTGGAGACTCCTTCCCACCTTCATGGGGTTGAGACCAGAGCTCTATCACCAGCCAGCCTCATCTAGTTTCCTGGGGTCTGAGGGGCCCTAGAGCTGTGCTCCTTTTTTTTTTGAGTAGAAATCTCACTTTGTCACCCAGGCTGGCATGCAGTGGCCACTGCAGCCTCGTCCTACTGGGCTCAGGTAATCCTTCCACCTTAACCTTCCAGGTAGCTGGAATTACAGGTGTGCACAACCATGCCCGGCTAATTCTTTGATTTATTGTAGAGACGAGGTCTAGCCAAGTTGCCCAGGCTGATCTAGAACCCCTGAACTCAGGCAATCCTCTCACCTCCGCCTCCCAAAGTGCTGGGATTACAGGCATAAGCCACCGCACCTGGTTAGAGCTGTGCTTCTGAATGTCCTGCAGGCCAATTGCAGATGCACAGAGCTTTATATGCATCTGGGCATGAGCCAGACAGTTTTGAATGACACTCCATGGTGGAATGGTGCCATCAGGGTGGCCAGGCACAGAAGCTGCAAGCTGGGCGGGTCTTTCCTGGGCATCAGCCATGGGGTCCTATCTCCTTCCACATCCCCTCGCTGCTGCTCTCAGCCTCAAGGAGCTCCTGACCTCAGCTTCCTCCTGTGCTGGGAGGCGGGGTCCTTGCCTGTCCCAGGCCTACCTCTGCCGCCTTGGAGAGGGCATGTAGTATCTCTCCCAGGCTCTGCCAGCATCGGGCATGTGCCTGGCTCTCTCCTGTCCCCTGAGGTCCAATTTCTTCTCTCCTCCTTCCTTCTGTGCTTCTCTGAGCCCTGAACATCAGCACCCTTGACTCCTGGCTGCTCCCCTTTGAGAACTGTGAGTCCTCAGACATTTCTCGCACTTTCCAAGAGCTTTCCTCAAATGTCTGCCATGGTCTCCCCCAGCAGCCCTGCCTGAGGTGCTGGTTCTCAGGACCACCACCTCCCACAGGGATGGTGTCATCCTTTAGTGACTGCTGTCCCTGGCCTCCTGTTCCCCCAGCCCCCGTCTCTGCCTTCTGCAGTAGCTCATTTCTGTGCCTCAGGCTGTCTTTGGCTGTGCTCATGTACAGCCCACTGTGAAGCTGTACAGTCCACAGCTACCCCTCACATGCCATGCTGCCACACATGTCCACATGGGTGCTCAGTATATGTGCTGGCCACACTCTTTAGTGTACCCCAGGTCGTTTTTCCCACAGCCTTCCCTGACGCAGGAGTGGGAGGCAGTGGATGCTAGGCCTGAAGCCTGGGGGTCTTCTTGAAGTTTCTCTTCCTCTTTCGCCCCCATACCCTCTGTCACATGTCTGTGGGTGCCTCCGCCTGGTGCCCCAGGTTCTGACACTGCTCACGCCTGCACGCTCACCCAGGGCCAGACCCACCAACTCTCACCTGGATCTTCACAAAGTCCTCCCAGCTTGTCCCTTGCAGTCAGAGCATGCTACAAATGAGCAAGTCAGATAGCACTTATCCTGTGCCCCCAGGGAAGCCGCACAACAGAGGGTGGAGGGGGTGAAGTGAGGGTGATTTCCCGCCATGGGCTGTGGGTTGGGAAGGTGGTTTGCGAAACTCCAGACCCCTTGGCTCTTCTTGGAGGACCAGGTTGGTCCAGCCCCAGGGGCAACCTGGGGGTCATGGGACATGGGGACACAGAGCCAGGTAGAGTATCTGAAGGCCTGAGAGGTACCATCAGGGTCCTGGTCACCACTGGACTGCCTCAAACCTCCAGGGCACATACCTCACATGCAGGAAGTGTCTCTCTATGGGCCTAATCCACCTGCCCCACCACACCCCATGCCTGGCTCACACTCTTGCCTCGTGGGTGTCAGGGCCGGTGTCTGCAGGGATGCTCAGAGTCTCCCTCTGCCCTATCCAGGCACCTGCACCTGTCCAGGATGGCTTTCCAGAGCCCTCTTCATCCCCCTTTTGTCCCCTGAGGCTGTCACCCCATCTGACTTCGGGTAACTTGACTTGCATTCTTGTCCCTTGACTGAAATATAGGCTTCCCAAAGGTACATAGTAGATGCTCAATAAATATTGAGTGAATGAATGAATGGAGAGTAAGTGAGCGAGCTATCAGAACTTGAAGCAGCAAGGGGTCCTCTCAGGGGGTGGGGGAGGCCCTGCACCTGGACTCCTGAGGTCTGGAGGAAAAGGACACACCCAGGAACTCAGCTGAAACTGCTTTGGCATGAGAGATGGTCAGAGCATATTAGAGCCAAAGCAAATGGCTCTCCAGCGGGGTGGATGTCAGACCTGGTGACAGCCCCTGAGCAGGACACATAGGCACCTCCAGGAGCTGCAGGTAGATTCCAGCACCAGAAAGTGCCCAGATTTGGTGCTTGTATTGCTGATCAGAGTCTTGCTTTTTACTACTAGCATGATTAATTGTATCATTTTCCAGCCCTGAATCGGTCTGGGGAGTTTGCATCCAGGCCCGGGATCTGCCCAATGGCAGGGCCAGAGCCATCCACCTCCCTATGCCTCCTGGACACCGACTGTCCTGGACTTCAGAAGTGCTGCTCCTGGGCAGGGGGGCGCCACTGCATGGCTCCTGTACCCCAAGGTAGGCTGCTGTGGGCACACTCGGGGAGACGCGCGGCAAAGGGAGGTGTCCAGGTGGGCCCTGCTCTTCCAGTGCTGGAGGGGTGGGTTTCCAGAAGCAGTAGCTCATTTCCTGGGGTGTCCTTGCAGGGTGCACAGCAATATCTATTTTGGGCAACTTCTTGGTCAACATCTGGACACTGACCTCTCAGGGGAGAATAGCCCATGGCACTTTCGGGACCCTGACATGGGAAGATGTTCCTGGTAGAGCAGGGACCCAAATCCCCCCAGTTTGCCTGGGGAAGCCCCAGCAGCTCCAGCTGGATTTTCTGGGGTGCGTGAGGTTGGCTGCACCTGGGGGACCAAAGGGGCATGACGAGCTCCTCACAGCACCCGCCATCAGGGCCTGCCCCTTGTCGGCATGCCTGCTGATCTGGAAAGTTCTCTCTCAATTGGGGACTGCACCCAGGAGAATGGGTCAGCCCATACATATATCATGTGTAGCCATATATGTCACAGCATTAGTATATGAGGGGGAATCCCCCAAAACCAGAATTTATTTATTAAAAAATTGTGTATTCTTACACGTTTAAACTTCAGTCACATTCAAGTACTCTCCGTTTGATGCAATACACCTATTGAGACACTTTTTCCACTGTTCAAAACACTTTTTGAACCCATCAATTTGGAAGTCTTTTAGTGCTTCCGCCATTATTTGTTTCATCTCTTCTACATCAGCAAAATGTTTCCCTTTGAGGACTTTTTTCATCTGGTGAAACGGAAAAGTCACTCGGGGTGAGATTGGGTGAATAGAGAAAGTGGGGCATGGGAGTCACGCCATTTTTGGTCAAAAACTGCTGAACATTCAGTGCAGTGTGGGCAAATGCGCTCATAATTTACCCACCGTGAAATGGGCAAATGCATTGAAAGAATTTCCAAAAAAAATTCATTGAAGCTGAACGCAACCTTTCACAACACTAGCTGGTACACTGATGCCAGTGGCTTCCTAGAACACTTACCTAGGGGGAGACCTGTACTACAAGGGGCCTGCCCTGCAAAAAATAATTCTGTTTCTTTTTTGGGCCCACTCTCATGGTATAGTAATAAAGTAATAGTATAGATAATATCAAATATTATTATAATACTATATATTAACTATACTATTAAACCATGTATTAAAGTATAGTATATATAATATATAGTATTATAAATTACATGTTACTATTAATACAATTTGATATTTATAGTATAAATAAATTGGTACAGTATATAAAAATTTTATGTCAATATGATATAATACTATAATGAAGTCTATAGGATGTATTTACATCCTAACTGCTTCTTTTAAAGGAAAAGCCCACCACTGTGGGTCCTTGGCCTTCTGACCAGGCGCAGCCTGCCACTGGACAGGGGCCAGTGGTCTTCATGGACATCAGGAGGGAGAGGACTGAGGGGCAGGCAACTGGGATGTCCTTACCAGTTCCCTGCTGCAGGTATCTTTGTGCAGGAAGGTACGTGCAGAATGCAGCCTCCTGCCTTCCAGGCCTCCCGTTCTCTTCTTCCACCCCAGTGGCCCTGCCCCATCCCAGACCATAACTCATCAGCATTTGTCCTGGTGTAGCTCCAGCAAGGCACCCGGGGAGCTCCTGGTACAACGTCACTGTGCTGGTGAAAATGAACTTCCAGGAACTCAAGCGAGTGGACCCCAAGCTCCTGAACCACATGCGCCTTCTACACTCCTTGGTAGGTGATGAGGACAGGGGCATCCTGCATGTTCCCTTCCAGGCAGCTCCCAGGGCAGACCCAGGTATGGGGCATGGGAGGGAATTGAGGAGTGGGGAGCGGTGAGGGGTGTTCCACTAGTGGATTCAGAGTGACTGCCTCTGAACCAAATTTGAATTTTTTTGTATTATTATTTTATCTTTTACAAAAATTTCATTAATAGGGTCAGGCACAGTGGCTCACACCTATAATCCCAGCACTTTGGGAAACTGAGGTGAGAGGATTGCCTGAGCCCATGGGTTCAAGACCAGCCCAGGCAACTTGGAGAGACCTCATTTCTACAATAAATAAAAAAATTTAACCAAGCGTGATGGCACCTGCTTGTGGTTCTAGCTACTTGGAAGGCTGAGGCAGAAGGATGGCCTGAACATAGCAGGTCAAGAGGCTGCCATGTCTGAGAGCATGCCACTGCACTCTAGCATGAGTGACAGAGTGAGATTCTGATTTTTAAAAAAGTGTACAGTTCAATACACTTATTGTTTTTCATTATTATTTTTTATTTTACTATTTTATTTATTGTTATTATTTTATTCTTTTAAAATTTTAATTGTGATAAAGACATAACAATATGTACAGTCTTAAATTTTTTTAAGTCTATAGTTCAGATGTGTGAAGTATATTCACATTGTTTTGCAAAAGATCTCTAGAGCTTTTACACCTTGCAAAACTAAAACTCAATACCTGTTCAGTAACGACTGCCCATTTCACCCTCTCCCCAGACCTTGACAAACACCCATCTACATTTTTGTTTCTATGAGTTTGATTATGTAAGATATCTCATGTAAGTGAAATCATATACTGTTTGTCACTTTGTTACTGACTTATTTCATTTAACATAATATTGTCAAGGTTTATTGTTATCGTAGAACATGACAAGATTTTCTTTTTAAGGCTGAATCATATTCCATTGTATGTAACTTGTCACATTTGAAAAATTTGCATGTCACTCAAGGGACATCTGGGTTGCTTCATTTGGTTTTGTAACGAATTCGAGGAACATGGGTGTGTGAATATATATCTTCCAGGTCCTGTGTTGCATGCTTTGACTAGGTTCCCAGAGGTGGGGTTGCTGGACATAAGATCAATTTATTTTTAGTTTTTTGTGAACTCTCCTTGGCGTTTTCATAGTGGTGGCATCATTTTTCCCCACCAACAGTCCATAAGGATCCTGATTTCTCCACATCCTTGACCAGATTTCCTTTTGTTTTGCTAATAGCCCTTCTAGTGGGTGTGAGGTGATAACTCGTGGATTTTCCTTTGCGTTGTTCTAAAAATAAGTGATTTCGAGCATCCTTTCCAATACCTGTTGGTCATTCGTATAACTTCTTTGGGGAAATGTCAGTTTAATTCTTTGTCTTTTTTTTTTGAGTCAGGATCTCACTCAGTCACCCAGACTGGAGTGCAGTGGCACAATCGTGACTCATCACAGCGTAGAACTCCTGGGTGCAGGTGATCCTCCCTCCTCATTCCTCTGAGTAGCTGGGACTACAGGCACATGCCACTACACCCAGCAATTTTTTTGTAGAGATGAGGTCTCACTCTGTTGCCCAGGCTGGTCTCAAATTTCTGGGCTCAAGCAATCCTCCCACCTCGGCCTCCCAAAGTTACAGGCATGAACTATTACACCTGGCTAGCTATTTTTAAATAGTTATTTACTTTTTGTTTTTGTTGAGTTTTAGAACTTGCTTATATACTCTGATATTAACTCTTGTCAAATATGTGATTTGCAAATATTTCCCCCAATTTCTTAGGTGGCATTTTTATTCTATTAAATGTTTCCTTTGGTGCACAGAAATTTTGAAGTTTGATGCAGCCAAATTGAATTCTTAAAAAAAAAATCAGTATCAGACCAAGAATGATGGCTCACACTTGTAGTCCTCGTACTTTGGGAAGCTGAGAGGGGGACTATTTGAAGCCAGGAGTTGGAGACCAGCCTGGGCAACAAAGAGAGATCCGTCTTCTACAAAGAAGAAAAAAATTAGGCGGGCATGGTGGTACGCACCTGTAGTTACAGTTACTTGGGGGGGCTGAGGTGGGAGGATCACTTGAACCCAGGAGTTCGAGCTGCAGTGAGCTATGATTACACTACTACATTCCAGCCTGGGCCACAGAGCGAGATCCCATCTCTGAAAACAAACAAAAAAGAAAAACAACGACAAAGAGGTATAATTTACATGCAACAAAACGGTATACAATTGAAGTGCATAGTTTGATGAGCTTTAATGTGCATACTCTTGTAAGGCCTACCTTGTTGTGGTATAGAACACAAATCCCTAATCTTGTGACAATCTGTTGCATAAATAAGAGTGTCCCAGTAAAAGATGGCCTAAGCTCTGAGCTCTGCCCTCCCAAACCTCGTTCCCAAATCCCTAGAATTTAGCTCCTGTTTTATGGAATTCCGCACCATCCTCGAAAGGGCTGAGCTGGGAACTTGTAACCTAGGGTTCTCTCCTGCGGCCTGACTGGGCTGGAGGGCTCTCGGGGGCAGGCAGGGCTTCTACACACAAGATGTCAGGAACAACCCCCAGTAGTGACAACTTAAAATGTCCCCAGACATTGCCCACTGTTCCCTGGGGACAGAATACCCCTGACTGAGATTCATTGATGACAAGTCTCACACTTTTGGACATGCGAGCAGCAATTTCCAACCAGGAAGTCTTCCCATCAGTCTTTGGAATCCCAGTGTGGATAGGGCATTGCATCCCCCAAGGGGGCCTTCCCTGGCAGTGATCTGATCTCAGGGTCAGCTGTTGACAGGACTCCTGCTTGGTTGAGCACTCTGCCATTGCATCTGGAAACGCTTAACACTTTTGAAACAGGTGTTTCATAACACTTCATTCTGCCGGGTTCGGTGGCTTAGCCTGTAATCTCACGCCTTTAGGTGGCTGAGGTGAGTGGATTGCCTGAGCCCGCGGGTTCTAGACCCCACCTGGGCAGGCGAGACCTCATCTCTACAATAAATTTAAAAAAAAAAATTAGCTGGGCATGGTAGCGTGTGCCTGTAGTTCTAGCTACTTGGAAGGCTGAGGCGGAAGGATCGCCAGAGCCCAGCAGGTCGAGGCTGCAGTGGCCGGGAGCAGCCACTGCACTCCAGTCTGGGCGACAGTGAGACTCCAACTCAAAAAAAAAAACCCCAAAAAACCAAAACACTTCATTCTGCACCTTATGCAGCTGGTCCTGCCTGCCCTTCTGATCTCATGGGTGTGTCCTTTGTGTGCCTGGGTGTCACAGCGTCAGGCCCAGGGTTGGGTCCCTCAGTCTTTAAACTAAGCTGGCTGGAGGTGATGGCACACAGACTCACCTTGCTTTAGGCCTCTGTCCAGTGACACTGGTTGAGAGACAGTCTGCAGCCTCAGCTTTGCCCAGAAACCTCTTTATCTTCCCCAGCTGGGAGTGGTTTCTGCTTCCTCTTAGCTTGTTGAAGGGGCTGCCCAATTGGCTGGTAAGAACTAGGCTCTGAAGCCACACTGCCTGGCCCCAGTGTTGCTATGCATCAGTTGTGAGACCTAGGCAATTTACTTAACCTCTCAGTGCCTTAGATACCTTCTCTGTTAAATAGAGCTAATTATAGTCCTACCTGAGGCAGTGGCTGCAGGTTTAAATAGTACATGTAAACAACTTTAAATGGTCCCTGATGTGTGTGGGGTCTGAGATGCTGTGGTTGTTGGTACTTTAAGCATTGCTGTGTGCTGCCTGTTTTCCCCCCAAGACCATGACCTCCATGTAGGAGCACACCCACTCAGTACATGATTCTGACTGCGGCTGTGCTGGGCTCCAAGGCTTGTTCTCGCTGCTAGGCAAGGGGACTGATGGGGCTGGGGCTGGCTCTCTATTCTACCTTCTAAATGACCAGCTGCATCTCCTCCCGGGAAGGGGTTCAGTACGCCTCGGAGGATTCCAGCTCTCCCAGCCTCCTTTGGAATTCCCAATAGAGATCTGAGGTCAGTTGGCAAATTCTGTCTTGGTGACACTTGTCTGGCTATGTAGTTGATGATCTGCCTGGCTTCTCAAGGGTTGAGATTTCAAGATGTTAGGTTGAAATAAAATAATTTATGCCAGGCACAGTGGCTCATGCCTATTGCCCCAGCACTTTGGAAGGCAGAAATGAGAGTGTTGCCTGAGCCCAGGGGTTTGAGACCAGCCTGGATAACTTGGTGACCTCATCTCTCTAAAAAAAAAAAATAGCTGGGCCTGGTGGCACACATGTGTGGTTCCAGCTACTTGAAAGACTGAGGCGGAAGGATTGCCAGAGCTCACCAGATTGAAGTTGTGGTGGCCGTGAGTCTCCAGCCTGGGCAACAGAGTGAGACTCCAATTCAATACAAAAAAAGAAAGAATTCATATGAAATGAGAAAAGGGATCATGAAACCTCAGGGAAAAAAACAAAACCAACAAAAAAACCCCAACAAACACAGACATGTATAACATGAGACCATGGCTTTTGAGCTCTAATTCTCAAATTCTCTCTGTCATCAGCTGCAAGAGATCTTTGGTCTCAGCAGCAGTGGGAGACAGAGGATCCCCATGTAATTGATTGTTCTGGGGCCACCATCACAAAGGACCATTTAATATGAGACTTAAAATGACAGAAATTTATTCTTTCACAGTTCTGGAAACTGGAAATGTAGAAGTCAAGATGTCAGCATGACTGGTTCCTCTGAGGCTTCTGAGGGCTCCAGGCCTCTCGCCTTGGCTTGCATGACATTTTCTCTGGGTCTTCATGTCACCCCCTGTACATGTCTGTCTCTATGTCCACATTTCTCCTTTTCCTAAGGACACCAGCCATATGGCCTCACTTCAACTCATTATATCTGCACTGACCCTATCTCCAAATAAGGTCACATTCTGAGGTGCTGGAAGTTAGGACTTAAACATGTGGATTTTGGGGGACACAATTCAGCTCACAACAACTGGTGGTGTAAAAGTATTTGTAAATCTGGTTTGCAGGATTTTTATTGGGAAGATGACAGACAAAAATATTGTAGTGGTTATTTTTGGTGTAACTGATGGTGTGTGTACAATTCATTTCAACTTCTGTAGACCTCCATCTCCTTGTCTGTCTGATGGGGACACGCTTCCTCCATGTGATGCCTGATTTTGGTTTCACAGGTCACCAGTGCCCTGCAACCACTGGACTCCAGCGTCCACCACCTGCACTCGGTTGGCAGGGACACCTCCACCACGGTGTCGTGGCTGCTGCTGGGCCTGCTGCAGCCCTTGCCCATAGCCAACATCTCTGCCAAACTGGACGACATTATGAAACGGGTCTATGAAGTGATCAACGTCCAGGTGCAAGGTGGTGCTTCCTCTCAGTCCTAGTTTACAGGGAGGCGGCCGGGGAGGGCCTAAAAGCCAAAGTGGAAGGCAGACTCCAAGCCCAGACTAGCCCTTCATCCCACAAAGACGATTTCAGTTCAGGAATAACTGGTTCAAGTTACTCCTGTGGGCGTGGAGGCAGTTTGACCCATCTCAAGATCATCCTTTAAACGACTAGGCCCCAAGCACAGATGATGAGAGCTCATATTGCCCCATGTCCCCCATGCTCTTTCCTTCCCTCCATTTCTTGTCCACATCTCTCATCTCCTTCCTTTCTAGGCCTGCTTGTCCCACCATCCTAGCTTGTGCTGGAGTACAGATATCAGAGCGAACCTTCAGTTCTTTGAGGTCCTAAAATTCCCTCCTCCCCACTGTCCAACCTCATCAGGGACACTCTCATACCTAGAAGTCTCTTTCAGCAAAATCTGTACAAAGTTGAACTTGTTCTTGGTAAAGCACATAGATATGGCCTTGTTTCTGGAAGACGTGCTTTTTTTTCCCCCTGGTCTATGTCAGGGGTTGGCAAACTTTTTCTAAAAAGGGCCAGATAGTAAATATTTTTTGGCTTTGTGGACCAATGTGGTCTCTGTCCCAACTACTCAGCTCTGCTGCTGTAGCAGGAAAGCAGCCAGACAGCGTGCAGGCAAGTGGCTGGGATCCAGTCCAATGTTCTTTCCCCAAGCCAGAGGCAGGCAGCCACGTGTGCTGCTCCCCAGGCTGTGTGGGAGGGTGGTTGCTCTTGGTGAAGTTGCCTCTATGAGCTTGAAGGTGGCATGTAACAGCGTCAGGGTTTGGAGCCCAGTGAAAGCTCCAGTGGCTGCTTTCATTTTCCTCCAGATTCATAAATGTTCTTGTAAGCCAAGCTGTGTTGTTCTGCTGCCAGTAAGCAAGAGTCTCATCTTGTCTGTTCCATCAGTGTCCTTCAGCCAGGGCTTGCAGGAACACGTCTGCAGGTGAACAAGTTGGGTGTATTACTCGAGGCAGCGTGGGAGAATCATGCTGTGGGAACCGTGGGGTTTCTCAGTAAGAGGTTGTTGGAAAGAACCTACTATAGAAGTCAGGTGTTGGTCGGGTGGTTTGGGGAGGCCCAGAAGAGGTGGGATTCTTGCTCTAGGTTGGATGCTGTCGGAAAGTGGGAGCCATCCTACAATTGGGTGTCTCAGTACATCTTAGCTTCAGGGAGGGAAAAAAATTGAGTGAAGATAAGCTGTAACTGGTAATGAACTAATCATCACTCATTTTGATGGGGTTGGGGTGTTGGTTAGTGGTTGATGTTTTATGAGTAACATGTGAGCTTATCCATGTCTGTGCTTATGTAGAATGACCCAGTGACCATGTCTGAGACCGGTCTGTGTGAAGTGTCTTCTGCCTGGAAGTGGCAGCCCAGCCTCGGGACAGCTCTGGGTTTCTTACTCAGTGGAGAAAACTGCCATTCATTTGACTTGCTCTTGGGGTAGGATGTTTGGGCCCCTACCTGACCTCTTAGACTCAGTCCAGCCTGAGAAAATTTGCCTTAGGCAATAGAAGCTATCTGGGGCACGAGAGGCTACAAGGTGAGCGGGCAGCATGTCCTGCCTGGACGTGGGCCATTGATTGTACGATGACGGCTCTCTCTCTAAGACAGGACTTCCATGGTTCCCGCCCCGGGATCACCGCCCAATGCACTCTCTCAGCTCACGTGGCACAAATCCGTGGCAGGAATTCACAGAGGACATTTGTGTGGAAGTTGATGAGGATGGTAAGATGGTGGTCGTGCCTCTGCTGAGCATCTGTGCCCACTCTCCCTTTCAATAGATGTAAACGAATGTGCCTACGAGGAACTCAATGCCTGCTCTGCACAGGGGCCATGTGCAAACCTGGAGGGCTCATATCAGTGCATCTGTCACCAGGCATCGCGGGCCTTGGGTCCCCAGCGGCTGAACAACATGTGTGAAGGTAAAGGCTGGGCTCTCCTGGATGGTGTGGGGATGGCTCAAGGAATCCTTTTAAGGATGGATGGTCTGTTGGCCTCAGGGGTTCTTCTTGCTGAGAGGGGCTGCCTGGCTCACAGGCATAGAATGGTCACTCGATTTTCTCAGTCATTCCTGGTCTTACAGTGGGCTGTTCTTGCCTTCATTCTTTGATTTGGGAAATGTTTATGTACCATTTTCTGTGTTTGATGTTGGTTATTATCTGCCTGAGCAGATAATAATCTTTGACTGTTTAATTGATTAAGTCAGGGGTCCCTGGCTGACAGGTATCAGGGGATGGGTACTGGTCCATAGCCTGTTAGGAACCAGGCTACACAGCAGGAGGTGAGTGAGCAGCAGGGCAGTGAGTGAAGCTTCATCTGTATTTACAATCGCTCCCCATCACCCACATTACTGCTTGAGCTCTGCCTTCTGTCAGATCAGCGGTGGCATCAGATTCTCATAGAAGCGTGAACCCTATAGTGAACTGCCCATATGAGGGATCTAGGTTGCACGCTCTTTATGAGAATCTGATGCCTGATAATCTGAGATGGAGCTGAGGTGGTGATGCTATATACTTCATTATATATTACAATATAAGAATGATAGAAATAAGGTACACAATAAATGTAATGTGCTTGAATCATCTCCAAGGCGTTTCCAGTCTGTGAAAAATTGTCTTCCATGAAACTAGTCCCCGATGCCAAAAAGGTTGGGGACTGCTGGATTAAGCGGAGACATCTTGGCAAGTGAAAGGGGTAAGATTAATGCCTGTACTGGGAGCCCACAGCAGTAAGCCAGTGCTGTCAACCTAGATAACAAAAGAACATGTTGGGAGCTGGAAACACCGAGAATGGAGTACCTGACTCTATTCCAGTTGGGAGAGGGATGAGGGGGAGGCAGGGAGCCCTGGGGTTATGCCAGGGGCTGGCATGTGGGGTTGGCTTCTGCCATCAAGGGGCTTTGAGTAAGAAGTAACTGCGTACTTTATCTTTTTTTTTGAGTCAGGGTCTCTCACTCTGTCACCCAAGCTGGAGTGCAGTGGCATGATCATGGCCACCACAGCCTAAGACTTCTGGGCTTAGGCAATCCTTCCACCTTAGCTTCTCAAGTAGTTGGGCATGGTGAAGCCCAGGGTCATTATGATCATCACTGATAATCATGGAGAGCACTGAGATGGAGTTGACATTGGGTGGAGATGCAGGGATACTGGCTGAGTGAGGCAGGAGAAGCTGGGGCCTGTGGTGAGGGCTGGGCTGCACGTGGCATTCTGGGTTTGTCACATCTAAGTGGTGTTTAAACTATGGGCATGACTGAGAGAAGGGAGGGGGACTGTGGAACTGTGGCAGAGAGATTCCAGCTGTGAGAGGGGAGCATAGGAGGAGAGGCTACAGAGGAGGAGTGAGGTGGGAAACAGCAGAGGGGCAGGCAGCGAAGCTAAGAGACAGCTCAGGGCCAGGCCAGTAACTCATGCCTGTAATCCTAGCACTTTGACAGGCCAAGGTGGGAAGATTGTTTGAGCCCAGGAGTTTGAGATCAGTCTGGGCAACATAGCAAGACTTTGTTTCTACAAAAAAATAAAAAATTAGCCAGGTGTGATGGTGTGCAACTGTAGCCCCAGCCACCCAGGAGGCTGAGGCTGCAGTGAGCTGTGATCATGTTACAGCATTCCAGTCTGGGTGACAGAGTGAGACCCTGACTCAAAATAAAAAATAAAAGGGCTCAGTAAGCCAAGTGGTAAACTGTAGAGCACTCAGGGGAGGGACAAGTGTGGGTACCAGGATGTGGGAAAGTGGCCATGTGAACTCTGGGGGACCATGGCGGCCTCTTGAGAGAGTAGTGGGGAAGGAGCTCTCAGCAAGGATTAAGGGAATAACTGGAGGAGAGAAAGAACAGAGGACAGGGAATCCTTTCTGGAAGTCTTACTGTGAAGAGGCTTAGCAGACCTGGAGGGAGGATGTGGACTCCCAGGTGAGTCTTTCACAAGATAGGTGATGCCAAAGCGAATCCTGTCTGATGGAGGCATCCTAGAGCCCAACTGTCCTCTGGAACACCGCTGTGGACTCCCTTTTTCCTGCCTCCCTGCAGGGCCTCCCTAGCGGCTGCTCCCATGGCCTCACGGTGCCCGCAGGCTGCAAGTCTGAGTGGGCCAGCAAGGCTGTATGTACAGCTGCTCAGCTGGCTGAAGGACCTGGCTGCTGTGGAGGGAGCAGGAGACAGAATCTCCCTTGCATGGCAGGATGTTGTCCTTCCAGGTGGTGGTGAGGGCCATCTTAGCATTCACCCCCTCACTCCCTCATGCAGCACTTCAATGCCAGGTACCTTCTTTCTAACTGGGATTCTACAGTATCCCAGAGAGCCCCTGCTCCCAGGAAACTCACATTTCAGGGAGGAGTAGGAAATGGGGAGGGGGTGATTAGGCTGCTAAATGTCACGGAGAGCGCTGGAGTACGGTGGGGCCCCGTGTACTGTCAGGCACTGTGGCTGGGGCCAGTGCCTTGGACTGATGACCTCTGGAAGGAGACCTGTGTGGAGTGAGTGGCCATCTCAGGAACCAGCAGTTAAAGGAAAAGCAGGAGTGTACTGGGTTGAATGATGGCCCCAAAGACATCTCTGGCCTAAACCATGGCAAAAGGATATTTTACGGTACTTATATGGCAAAAGGGACTTTGAAGATGGGACTAAGCTAAAGATATTGAGATGGGGAGATTATTCTAGATATTCCAGGCAGACTTTTGTATAATAATCACAAAGGTCCTTGTAACAGGGAGGTAGGCGAGTAAGAGGCAGAGACAGAAGATTTGAGGATGGAAGCAGAGTCAGAGGGGAGAAGGCACTGCTGGCTTTGAAGGAGGGAGAGGCCCCAAGTCGGGGAGAGCTGGTGGTCCTAGAACCACTAGGAGGTGAGAAACGGCTGCTCCCAGGCCCTCCAGGAGAAAGGCCACCTTACCCACGCCTCGATTTGATACTTCTGACCCCCAGAACGATTAGAGAATAAATGCGTGTTGTTTAAAGTCACTGAAGTTTGTGGTCATTTGTTACAACAGCCACAGGATACAAATCTCAGGATTTGGCTCAAGGCCTCAGAGGCACAGCATGCAGGTATAGGAAGGTCACAGGGCTGGTACCTTTCACTACAGAAAGTTGGCAACACTCAAAACAGAGAAGAGTGTAGTGGATCATAGCAATTGTCCCCTTGGGGCCATCTTTGGCCCTGTCTGCTCTCCCCACATCCCAGTTTATTCCAAAATCTCTATCATCATATTCTTCACTGGAACTTCTGTATTTCAGAATGTTCCCCTAAGAGTACTAAAACACAAAACAGAAACCATAACACCATTACCACTCCTTAGAAAACCAAAACAACCATTCCTTAAGATCATCAAATAGTTAGTTTGTGAAAATGTCTCATTATCTCATAATTATTGTGTGTGCATGTTTGTGTGTGTGTGTGTGTGTGTGTGTGTGTATTTTTAAGTTTGTTTAAATTGGAATTTAAATTGGTTCCACCACAGAGTTCATATGTATTCTATAGCATTTTTTCTTTGCTAATATGTTGTTTTATATTTCACAAAATGTGTTATGCATAATTCTTTATAACATGGTTTATCCTACTTAAAATATATACAATATTTCCCTAATAAAAAAAATAAATTGAGTCCACCAGTTAGTTATGGTATCTTTTAAGTTATTTTACTCTTTATTTTATTATTATTATTTTTTGATTTAGGATCTCACTTTAGTGCCCAGCCTGGAGTACAGTGACACGATCACAGCTTACCACAGCCTCAACCTCCTGGGCTCAGGTGACCCTTCCACCTCAGCCTCCCAAGTAGCTGAGACTACAGGTGTGCACCACCACACCTGTCTAATTTTTTTATTTTTTATTTTGTAGAGACAGGATCTCACCATGTTCCCCACGTTGGTTGTGAACTCCTGGGCTCAAGCAAGCCTCTTGCTTCGGCCTCCCAAAGTGTTGGGATTACAGGCATGAGCCACCGTGCCTGGTCAATTTTGCTTTTTATTTTAGACATTTTCCATCCATCTCTCTTTTTGCTTTTTGGACTGTTGGGGACTCTGTCTTCCTTGTCCCAGGCAAGCTCCCATGGTTTGAGGTCTGCTGATTGCATCCCTGAGGTATCAACATGTCTTATCTTTTGGATTTTCTGTGACATGTGTCAGCTCTGGAGTGAGGCTCTTCCCTTGTTACTGTGCCTGGACCCCTTGGTATCTGGTAAAGTCATGGGTGCCCTTCACAGAATGTGTCCAAATGCCTACAGTATATAGGGTGGCAGAGCAAACCCATTCTATTGAGAAACACTTGTCAAAACGTGAGCCTTTGCAATGTGCAGCCTCACTGGCCCCTCCCACTCCTTCCGGTGAGTTTCCCTGACCAAACCCCCACTTGCACTGGCAGCTCCTTGTTCCCCAAAGTCATCACCAAGGATGCTTGGAGTTGGTTTCTTGTTCCTTCATCCTTGAGAGATAGAACTATGAATGGCGTCGTCCCCACCTTCCCCAAGGGGTCATGTGCCAATAATCCACTGTGGCCACCGTCTCAACAGTATACCCTCACTGGCTGCTTTCCCTCCTGTGTCCCTCCTCACTCCCCAGGATTCCCAAATAGACACTGGAATCCTTGTCTCAGGTAGACTCTGGCTGTTGGGGAGAGAATAGGCTAGAGGAGTCGTGGCAAAGACCCCAAATCCACTGTCTCCTTCCCCAGTAACACAATGTCCACTGGATTTTTTAGCAGATGAGGTGGCCACATGACTCGGTCCTAGCCAGAAGATTCAGTGGAGCATTTAAAGGGATTGATGAAGTCTGCTTAACGGGTATGGACCCCGCTCTAGGCACAGGAACGGAGTGACTGAGCCCCATGGTGACCTCGAGGATGAGGCTGAACTCTGCCTGAAGCAGTAGAGATGGTGCAGGAGACTGGGCCTGAGGCTGGACCCAGGGCTGAGTACCACAGACATTCTCTGT